TTATTTTACAAAATACTTATACGTACTTAGCATCATATGGGTGACTCCTGTTTTTAAAATATTAATTTGGTCATTTCATTCCATCACCATATATTTGCTGAGTGTATCTTCTAATTGCTGGAAACAGGAAGGGAAACAAAACCACAATGTCCTGGTAGGGCTGCTGGCCTAGTGAGGCAGATGAAAAACAAATAAACCAGCACACACTGTCACAGGTGGCGTCTGGTACTATGGGTGGTATGCAGAGAAACAACTGGGGGTAAAGAGACAGATGGTGGTGGAGGGTGCTGCTTCATCCCCGGCAGTTAGTCAGAAAGTGGCCTCCTAGCCAAAACATGAAGAAAAATGAGAATGGGCAAACAAAGACCTGGGTGAGAAAGAGAGTTTCAGGCAGGTGGACTAGGCCCAGGCAGGAGCTTTCTGGGAAAGTTTGGGGAGCACAAAGAGACAGTTTGCTGGGAGTGTGTGTACAACAGGTACTTAGAAACTGCCTTTGTAAAAAGCACTGCCTCCAATTTTGAGCCCACAAGTTAACTAAAGGCAGGAGAAAAGTTTGCCATCCCTACCCTCATTTTACTTCTGCCTCCTTTACTCTCAGTCTTTCTCCCTTTCAGTCACCTTGGGTTCCAAGAAGGACAGGACTGATTGATAAAATCTTTACTACAAGGGACTGAAACTACTCAAGGAAAGGAACAGCAGAGACTCGCAGGACAGACCAACCCTGGAAATGAGCGCAAATACCTATAATAATGAGGCTGAGTCTAGAGCAGTGGTAATCCTCTCCCGGACACCAGACTGCTCCCCCAAGTACTGGCAGAGATAACAACTTCTCAAGAACCCCTCACAGACCAAAGCTGCCATACTAATCAACCAGCCACACTTTGCCTGGGATGACTTAATTATGCACACCTCTCATCCCTGCCCTAATTCTTCCTCTGCTTAAACCTAAACTCATGCCTGTACCCTGAAGATGGCTGAAGTACTCACAATTCCTCTTCCTGCAGTGTGTCCCTGCCATGTAATATGACTCCTTTCTCTGCCCACCACTACTCATCTGTCTTTTTATTTGGCTGGAGTACTGGGGCGAGGGGCTGTGGACCCCCTGGATTGGGCTCCTGACCTAGAACCTAGTTATAGGTGAGTTGACAAGAGTGGCAGGGGATGAGCTCACACAATCCCCAAGGCCCAAGATCCAATGAAGGCCTGTAGGCAATTGTGAAGATTTGAGGTGTACTCAAAACAAAATGGTGGCAGAAGAGTGTCAGGCTCTGAGTTGGGTTTTGAAGGAGTGAGGGCAAAATGTGCAGAATTGGTATATTGATGATTTCCAGCTAAAATCATTTGAGATACTGCCACTGCAGAAAGGACCATTTGGCCTGACTTTCCCAACAGGTACAAGCCTTTAAGATGCCTTAGTCACCAGACTGGTAATTGGAATTACAGTGACCCTGAATCAACAAACTCTGAAGTAACTCTTCTGGTAGCTCCTTCATCCCTTAGACACCTCTCAGTAACATCCCTAAAATCTTATATCCTAATCCACATACTTGCCTTCACAAATTTGTTATTCTTTGTCTACAAGGTATAAAAGCATCGTGCTTTGGTCATTTCTTCAGACTTCACTCTCTTGTGAAGACTCCCACGAATATATAAATTTAATAAAGCTTTTATGCTTCTTGCTTATTTGCCAGCTGTTACATTAGTTGAGTTCAACAGCTAGCCAAAGAACCCACACAGAACTAAGGGTAGATGATCTCTCTCTCTCTCTCTCTCTCTCTCTCTCTCTCTCTCTCTCTCTCTCTCACCCACCTCTCCCCTGACTCTCTACACTTTCCAAAAGATCTCCACCCAACTTCTGAGTGGAGAATAGAGCACAGCCAAGGGCTGCTGGGACATGGGTAGCAAGGGTAGAGGCAGGACACTGACTGGGAAAGTACTGTAGTCCTCCAAATGAGAGATGGCAGTACGTAATACAAGGGTTGCAACAGTGGAGGTGGGGGTGAGCAGTGGGGTTCTGGATATTTTCATCAAGGTAGAGCTCCCAAGATTTGTTCATGGATTGAATGTAGGTATGAGCAAAAAGACAAGAGTTAAGAATGACTCCGCAATGGTTAACATCAGTGCTTGGACAGTTGTCACTAACACTCAGCAAACTAGGAAGGCTATAGAATAGCAGATGTGGAGAAAAGGTAAGGAAGGGGAAGATGGTTTTGAATGCATGAAGTTCCATATATCACTAGTCTTTTGAATACAGACACTTGGTACCATTAGTACAGTGTGCCTTGCTTCTCTTAAAAGAAAAGGAATCAGGAGCATAAGTGGGTCAGTGGCACACTTCTGTAATTCCAGCTACTCAGGAAGCACACATTAGGAGGATTGCAGTTCCAGGCCACCTGGGGCAAAAAGGGCTGGGGGAGTGGCTCGAGTGGTAGAGTGCCTACCTAGAAAGGGAAAGGCCCTGAGTTCAACCCATGGTACAAAGAAGAAGGAGGAGGAGAAGAAGGAAAAGGATGAAGAGGAGGAGGAGGAAGGGAAGAAGAACAAAAAATTAGGAGTATATGCCATGTATTCTAAGGACTGCTCAAGTGAGTGCAGATATCTTGTGAGCAATGTACTGCTTATGTGTATGTTGTAAAACTTACTGGTACATTTTTAACATCAGATTCAAATACCTACTTTCAAAAGTAGGAAATGCCACTAACAGCAGAGCATCTTTTCCTTGCAACAGGTGACTATGAATGGCAGGGATTTGATGTGGCTCCAAAGAGTCACTTGGATCTTACAAGCCATTCTTTGACTCACAGAGCCATCCCTGCCTGCCAAAACTCACCCTATGCCACATTCCATGGAGTCTGAATGTTCTTAATTCTGTAATTCAACTTCTAATATAAATGCAGACTCTTTCTATTTTCTTTCAATGGAGACATTTTCTCATTCAAATTTGTCTTAATATAGGGTCCTTTTCCTAGAAATAATTAGAATCACAAAAGGAACAGCAGTTTGGGGAAAGAAAGAGGAGATAAACAACTAACAGCATTGGGTATAACAGCCTTGGAGGAGAGAAGGTCATGATACAGGTGCACCTAGGTACACAGGGCACACCTGGGAATACTGGGCACAACTGGGCATTGTCTGCTGGTCTGGAGAGAGCTCAGGCATCTGCAGGAAGTGTCTGTCTACACAGATTCATCCCAGATCAGAGACTTGAATGATGCTTCCACTTATCTCCAGTGCAGCCTTCCTGAACTCTGATGGCCTGCTTGACACCACCATTTGAATATCTCAATGCCACAGCATTACCCTGCTCTGTTCTATCAGAACCAGTTTCTCCCCTCACATCCCTTGGTCTAGTCAACTTCTATGGGCATTCACATCTAAATTCAAACATCCCTTCTGTGAGGAAGCCACACACACAAACACATACACATCAAGGCCAGATGCCATTGCCCTGCTATATCTCTCGCAGCTCCTGTTGCATTCTCATAGCCCGAAGTCTATCCATAACTCTATCTTGCTTGTGTAAAGCATCTGCTTAACATCAGGACCATCCACCAGATGCCATGCCCCTCAAAGCAGATCCATGTCTCCCTTGTTCATCGCTGTATGCACGTAGATCCAAGCTTGTGGCTGGAGCACAAAGAGCATCTGACAAGCATTTGGTGCACAAATGAATGAATGCTGTGTTGGTGTGCACAGACAGGAAGCAAAGTCTCTGTGGTACACCACATTTGTGAGACACATCAACTCCAGTGCACTGAACTGAATGTCAAATAAGGTCGATCAAAACTTGTTCTTATTTGTCTCATCAAGTACCACCATTATACATCTCACAACCACCAAGGACACTGAAGGAGAAATCAGTAATCCCAAGTCAAAAAAAAAAAAAGAAGATCAAGAAGTTACTGAATACTTTCAGTGAGCCAGACACAGAAAAAGAAGCTCTCCTCTCATACATTTTATTTAAAATAAAGCAAAACTAGTTTATAATTGTTTCTTCAGAATTACAGAAAAAGGAGACCCACAAAAATGTTCTACCAAGCTCAGGCAAGTCTGAATTTATGCAAGATGTATACATTATAATTGATGTTATGCTCATTAGTGTGTTACTGTGAGGAATGCAGAAAACCATTACACAATTACAAGAGCTTTCGTAGTTTCCCCATCTTCAGGAACATTACTAAGGTACTTATTCCTGGTTGTTAAGTTGGCCAACCTCAAACTCTCCTGTTTTAGGGATTTCAGCAATTTGACCTTTGTGGCTGAAAAAGAAACTCAGTATTCCTGCTGGTCTTCTAGACTTCAGCCACTGCTTCTCCCCAGCTCTGAAATATGCCTGCCACAGGGAAGGCGACACTAAGTCTTAGACTTTAATGATAGCTTTATCAGCAAGGTAAGATTAACATCCTAAAGAAGTTCACAGAGTTCAAGATCTAATCCACCAGCTGTGGTGCAGAGAAGGGGAGAAGACACAGGAGCAGGATAGGTATATAAAATATAGAGAAGATAACTAACAATTACCAGTATTCTACATTTTCTAAACAAATCTCGTATCTCAAGTATTATGTTCAATTTCTTTTTTGGCAAGATCTAATTCTGTCTGCAAAGTTATATCCATAAAATGCTCACCAATTCATAGCAATCTCTCAGCCATTCAAATAGTACTGTCATATTGATTTTTCCCCTTCATGGAAATCAGATACAAATTACGCAGAACTCTAGTTTCTCCTGAGACTGTGTAGAGTCATCACATAGAACTCCTGTGAAACACACATAGCAAATCCCAAGGTCCTTTTATCATTACACATTCATTCAAAGTGAAAATAGTGAAGAAAATCACGTAAAAAACATGCAAAAAGGCAAATTAGTAGATTTAATAAAAGGATTTAACTTCATATGGTGTCTCCAAATACATGTTGATGCACAAGTGAAAAATATGTTAAGGACACTCTTGTGGCATATTTAAAACATTGTTTTCTCTGTAAGTGGCTGTGGCTTAATACCTCCTTCATCAGACGGTCTGGTTACCTCACTGCAGCATGAAAAGCTAGGGTAAATCTCCGAGATTTCTGACTTGTCATCTCCCAGCCCTGTACCAAAAGTGCTGCTGGAATGAGATCGAGACCGGTGTCTCCTATAGTGATTTGCCTTTTCTATGTAGTAGGAAAAATATCCAGACATAGGAATAAGTGACTTGAAGAACAACAAAATTACTTAAAAGCTTAACAAGAAAAAAAATCCCTCAATTATTACTTAAATCTTGGTCATGATAAGGTTCTAGTCATATCTTCCCAAACTTCAGCATGCATTGTATCAACTACAATAAAAGATTTAAAGAATTTTTATACTCATTTTAAATCTGGAATTTAAAGGAGACATAAGGGATCATAGGTTGACAAGAGCTAAGAAAACATTGACAAACCAATAAATTTCTATTAAACATTGCATCAGGTTATGAATATCTGCTTTCAAGTTATCCCTAGGCATGCAGCATCTGTTACCTTTATTTTTAGAAGACTGAATGACACAGTTTGGCCAATGTGGATCAAATTAACTATAGAAGGATTAGAACCCCTACTTTACATTATTAGCATCAACAATTAAATACAGAGTAAAAATCAGAGGGTAGAACAAGACTTTAGTGATATATTTATAGCTGCTGTGTTATTTAAAATAACTGAATAGCTGTCAAAGACTTTTCAACCCCATATTTGCTAAACATGGTTTGAAAGTCTGAAATGTCAGTCATGCTATCACTATATCAAATCATTCTTTTTTTTTTGCTTTTAATTATATACATGCCACCTAATCTAAAACTTAAAAAGATTTCTATGGAAACCATTTTACATTTCATAAAAACTCAAGGACAAAGCTTAAATGTTTACAAGTTTAAACATTTATGATGCTATACAGAATTCTTTAACTGTCTTTAAAATACTGTTGGAGCGTATGTCATGAAACAAGTCTCCTTCGTGTCTCAGCAGCTTCACGCAATCCATATAACTGTATTTGTAAACCCAGACAGTCATTAAAATCATATTCACCAATAAAAAGCAAATGTAAGTAAACTCTAGACACCATTTTAAATGCATCTAGGAGAAACTAATCTGGGATTTATTAAAAAACTCCTTGGCAAGTTTTATTTTCATGAATAATTAATAGTATTTTAAAGTAGCATGTACTTTTTTGTTTTTTTGAATTCTCAACTTTAAAATTTACAAGGCACAGTTGCCATAGGGAACCTTACAGGTCACAGTCACTTCACTCTCAGGACAAAACCACACAAACGGAGAGGAACTCAAAACGTAAGCAATACCGGAGAGCATATGCAGACTTCTAGACTGAATATTGTCTTCCAGGGGATCAATGTCAAAGATGGAGCCTGGATCTGTGCGCCACACTTTGAGATCTTTCACCAAAAGGAAGAAATCAATAAATCAAGGAGGAAGTTTTTAAAGCCAGCAACAAAGAGAGATAAGGAAAAGGCAAGCAAGTAATCACAAATCCACTGCACTGCAGAAATCAGAGAACAAAGCAGATTGACTGTCATCTGTACCTGTTAAGAAAATTTTGTCAACAAATTTAGTTGCCTGGTTTCTTCACTGACCTTCCATGCCCAGCCTAGCTGAAGCAAGGCAGACTAATTATTAATTTTATGGGTTGCCCAAACTGATGGGTATCTGAATCTCAGATTAGCAATATAGTAGTATGCAACTGGAAAACAAGAACCCAGTTGTAGACATGTGACAGGAATGAGGCTAGAGTAAAAATAACAAATTAGTTAAACTGGAGATTTGCTTGTCAGATTTGAATCAATATTATGTAGAATTTACTATATGCCATGCACTAGTCTCAATAATAACTCATTTAAGTTTCATGCATATTAAAATAGGTACTATTATTATGGCCATTTTATAGATGAAGAAACTGAGGCACAGAGAAATTGAGTAGCTTGTCCAAGGTCACCTAATTAGTCAGTAGCAGAATCTCCAACAAAAAGAGAATCAGCACAAATTGTCTTGGTCTGTATTACTTTGAGTACATTGTATTTCCATGCCTGGTATAGAAGCTGGTTCATTGGAAAGTGTTTGCTGAATGACTTTGTTTTATGCCTTCACAAATGAAGGCCTTGGTGGAAACAGATTATCCTAATAAAAAGAAATGAACTGACTTCTGAATTACTGACTAAGTAAATAATTCAGAGTTCTGCATCTTATATTTAAAAAAAATAGTAATAATTTCTATCTCAATGGTTATAAATACTGAATCTAAGAGTCCAAGTTCTAGACAGTTTCATGGTTTTGACATTCCCCCCCCCCCCGCCCAATTCCTGGCCCCTGCTCTTTGTAGGACCCTGAAGTAAGCACTCAGCCTACTGGCAGTCTTCCTTATGAGATATTACACAAAGCAATGAAACTATCTGCTTCTCTATTATTTTTAATCCATCCATCACAATTCATCCAACAAACTTTATGTGATCCTTTGAAATATCAAGTTGGGAAGATCATTAAAGCTATCAACTGCCAATAAAAATGTTTGGAACGCTTCTTTGGAAAACACTCAAAGTCACTTTGGTTGTCATCCAAGTAACTTAGCACTCTGATGTTAGTACTCTTGTTTTGTGCTAAGCTACTAGCCTATCAAATATTTGCTTCTCCAACCAACTCGTCTCTAAATGGCCTCTCACTAGTACTATTCCAAAACATAAGCTCTTAAACTTAAAGATGAGGAAAATTTAACACTGACATTACTGAGAAGCATATACCATGTCTTTGAACTCCATAGTGGGAGTATGATAAAAAGGCAGAGGCTAATTATTGTTATAAAATTGTTGATACACATTGAGAAATTAATGATCTTCCTTTTCAGCGCTGCCTTCAGTATGATCTTTGCTGACAGCTCAAGCCACATTCATAAACTAGATTTTTCAACTGACCGTAAGGAACAGGCATCAGGAAGAGAAGGTTCCTCTCTCTAGATTATTGGACTTTTAGAAGGCTCTCAAAAATCCCAGGTCATAAACAATATTCAAAAAACGCAAATGGATTCATGTTACACAATCTTTCTGGTATGTCTGTTTGTGGTAAAAGGACCTAAATGTAATATGATTATTTCCCATGTCTACAATTTCCCATGCCTACAGTATAACACTTTGACCAAGCATACAAACTGTAGAAAACAAAACAATTGTTCAACCATTGTAATCATCTATGTCTGAGTTGCTTCTTGTTTAACAAATAGGGACATTCTTACAAGCAGAAAGCTATTAAAACAGAGAATTTCCAAGAAGAGAAAGCATTTGCAATGATACCATGGATCCCATGCAACCCAGTTCCAAAATACTTTACCTGTGGTCCATTTTAAACTGGGTACCACAGCAAATGTGTGATGAAGAGTCAGATGAATGAGGAGGTATATCCTAAAGTTGGAGTGTGCGCAATCATTTTAACCACATATATCTGCCATGAAAGACCACCTGCTTACCAACAATGATTCCAGGTCTCCTATCCATCTCCACTACATGAGGCTGGACACCTTTGTACGCGGCATCACTGACTACCTGGGTGTTCTTCCTCACCCGCTCTGTCACAGGATCATCCACGACAGGAGTAAAGCCCCTTCCCTTCGTCTTCTCAAAATCCTCATGATATTTTACCTGAAAGAGGAAACAGAATATTAACTCAGACTAAATAAAATTCCTGACTATTACCTATCTCACAAAGTTTTGATGAAATGGCAGGCGTCACTGCGTAAGCTGCACCTGGATTGTTTTCTACATACATGCATGCTTCTAATTATGTCAGAAGTCAAGTGCTGGTATTTTTACCACGTTGTTAATCGTTATGGCGAGTGTGTCTTTTAAAATATATACGAGCCTGCAGAGCAGTAAAAACTTGTAAAACACAAGTATTTTTAAATCCTGGTTACTTCCTAAAATACAATAATTGAAGTGCAAATTAAATTCCTGTCTCTTCACCTTCAATATGCAGTGAGGTGATACACATTATTCAAAAAAAAACACAGTATCATTTAAAATTAGAGAGTTAGATAATTTTTATCTATAATTACAAACTCTTGTATATATTGCAAAACACACACTTTTCCATGTTCTGAACTTACAACAGGGCAATAGTTGTACCACTATAAATTACATCAGAAATCACTGGATGAAACACTTTAAGTTAGTGAACTCTATGATACATAAATTACATGTCATGAATTGTCATATACTTTTTGACATGCAGACACACCAAACTCTGCTTAAAATTAATTAGAAAGAAATCTAGACAAATAATTATCTTTCACAAAATGCATTTACAGTAGTTAAGTTAGAAATAAAGACACACTGAGAAAGTCACTGGGAAAAATTATTTTATTAAACTAAATGTTTTCACTACATTTCAGTGTGATTGCAAAGTCCTCCCCCGCCTCAAAAGAAGGGTTCATCTGAATATCCATGCTTTGTTAGTCATCCAGATTAATAGTGAGTAAACATCATCAGAATGCTGTGTCTTGCATTCCTTAGTATATTTCAGTCATGGGGAGGATGACCTGGCTGTACCCTACCATTGACACATGATTCTGTGCTTCTTTAGCATGTCTCAAACCAGGTGTATCTAAAATCAGACTTGGTCTACCTTTCATCTGCTTATGGTCCTGGGTATATTTTACCTGAAAAATAATAGTAGATATGCTTACAATAGGACAATTACAATAAACAAAAGCATTACCTAGCTTTTAAAAGCTTTCCCAATGAGTGAAATATATACAAAATACTTGAAATTATTTTCCAGGAATTATAATTAGAATACTAATTTTAAAATTATGCTTTTGAGATCTCCCTTAAAGGCCACTGCAAAAATGACTTAAATCTATTAACTGAAAACCAATGTTTGTGACCAACAGTCACTAGCAATATACTCACTAACACTATCATATTCAAGTTAGAGAAAACCCAACACTAAATAGAACTCAAATTTATTTTCTGTTTCTAAATTTCCCCATTTTCTGCCATAACATTGTTGAATGCACACGTTTCACTATTTTTGCCCTCCTTGAAGAATGAGAAACAAGGAGGAATAAATCTCATCGCTTAGTCTTTCTTCTAAGCCATCACAGCTTAGAGGGTAATTTATGTTGAGTACATCCAGTATCTCTGGGCAGAAATTCCAATAAATGCTGATCCCCAGGCACAGAGCACTTCAAGGTGACCAACAGAACATTGCCGTTCATGAAGCTGGAGGTGTATGAGGTCAGCACAACACGTGCTGCAGATCTGAGGGCATTCAAGCAATTCCAAAATGAAGTCTTGATATTCACTAAGAGAATGCACACTGTCCAAATGAGACACTCACATGCACCATGAGTTACTTTTGTGAGTAACTGAATTCTATATTCAATGCATTTAAAGGTTTTTCTTTCTAAATTTTCACTTTAGAATAATGATTCCTTTTCTATTTTGTCTTACAGAAAGCATTTTGGTGAAATGCATCCATAAAATGACAATTATTTAATTTACGCATCAAAGACTTTATCATTTTCAAAGATACTGGCTAAAACAACATGAATCACTGTTGAATAAGCTTCAAATGGAACTGTCAGTCACATCTGGAAATACCAATGAGGGCTTGCGGGGTAACATAAATTTATATAGTGGAAGCTTTTGGAAGTCTCTGAAATAACACGCATTTATTGGAAATATCACAAGTTTATTTTCACACACACACACACACACACACACACACACACACACACAAAAACCCAGGATGACAAGTAACATAAAGGACACATCCCTTGAGATGGTCCAAAATGAATAAAATCACTTGCCGAGCTAATATTTTCTTGATTCTTCTTTACTCTTTCCATTTCTGGAGTTAGACTTAAAGCTGTAGCTCTTCCCAGCTGACCTTTATAATAAACCTATCATCCAAGAGAGAGTACTAGGAATCAATTCAACTAAATCAGAGTCTTTTTAAAGAGTTAGCCAAGGAAGTGAGACTAGTTTTTAAAAAGATGCTATTTGCTGCCTAGTCAGATTCAAATGTTTCTCAAAGCTTCTGTTTAATTTCCCCCCATAATTGTAGATGCTTCTCTTCTGAGTCACTGTGCGTGTACTCAAGTCTATGGGCCTATCGCAGTCAATGTGCAGTACACCTTCTACCACAGAAGGATACATGTGGTCCCCTTGCCCATATCGAGTAGCACTACACAGTCGTGGTTTCTTAGAAACAAATTGTGACAGATGGTACATTGCTTCCCAATGCCCCGTTCTTCCTTCCCAATAACCACACTTTAGAGTCATGTCAAGTGTGACTCTAAACCTACCAGGAAAGATGAACATCTACTTCTCCAAAATACAGTTGTTAGAAGAAGTACCCGCGATAACCTGCCTTTGCTTCATAAACTGATCAAGTGCCTTTTAAGGATTTGAGGAATAAAAGATTTCTTCAAATGTAATAGATTTCCAAATTTCCTCTTCCAAAGAACCCAATCTATATGTTAATGACTTCAAAAAAGGATTTTCTCGGTGAACTGCATCCATGAATTATATAAACAAAAGGGAATTAGAGCAAGTCACAAGTCAGTATCTAAGTAAAAACTGCCAGCCTTGGATCAAGTGCCCTAAAATTGGCCATGTGTCAGGGAAAGTTCAATTGTACAGCCATGATGCAGAAGCTCCCCCTACCTTCTTTTGGGGAACCACAGAAATTACTAACATGACCACAAGATGAGAGTGATCCACACATGTAGGAAAATTATCATCATGGCGTATACTGGGAACCCCACAACACCTAAGTCTCTGTAACCATCAAATATATCGTGAATCAGTTAAGAACAGGATATTGGCTCAAGCTTAGGAAAACTTGGAAATACAACCCCCAACCCCTTCATCTGCAATTGATATCATGATAAAAAAGTTACTAAGATGATCACACATTGCTGATATTCTTCTGGTTTTCTTTCACTCTCTTCAGCTCTGGGGGATCAGAAATGGAAGTTGCCTGTTTAATTTCTCCTTTGTATTTGACCTATAAAGGATAAATAAGAATTTTAATATAGCAGAATGGATTCCAAGTACCACAAAGGATAAGGCTCAAAATTCACCCTTTTTACACATGTTTTTTTCACAGTAGCTCTACAGTCACCCTTCCTGATGATTGAACCTAGATTCTAATTGGTCTGACCTAGAAAGCACAAAGTGTTGGTTGCTGCTGCTTAAAAAGGAATCTTCAATAAATATTTTGCTGTTCAATGTTAAAACTAAATTCCACAAGTAAAAGCATTGGAAATATAAGGGAACATGCTTGGGGGAAGAAAAACACTAAAGTGAAGTCAGGAAAAGAGAACTAGAATGAAATCTATATGGCAGCCTGGAAAGACCTTTGACTCTATTTCTGACCCCTGAGTTCCTGCCTTCAAAAGATCTATGACTTCTTCCATTTTCCAGGGGTATTATAAGAACAAACAATGCTTAGCTTGATTTTCTGCTCCTTGATTATCTCCACCTGAGAGAACTGGATCTTAAATTTTAAAGACTTTTGCAATTCCTGTCTTGAAAGAAAACAGCTAGTGTTTCTATCAGGAGAAGCTCCATAAGAGAGTCACAAAATGAGAAAAATAACTGTTTGGGAGCATCCTGGAGGGATTTCTGAATTCCAGGGTGCCTGGGTTCAAATGCCAGCTCTGCCCTACAGTCATGGATCCGTGGCATGTTCTCTGGCTTCAATATTGTTTCCCACATCTACTAATCAGAGAAATGAATAATGCTGCACTGTGAGTTCATATGAAACGTTAGCACGGGGTCCAGCACATAGAAGTGGTGCCTCATACTTGCTCAGTGGTACTGCTGTATTAGCAAAAGACTTTTTTTTCCCTTTTTTTGGTGGTAATGGGGCTTGAACTCAGGGCCTCGCACTTGCTAGACAGGTACTCTATCACTTGAGCCACTCACCAGCCCTTTTTTGTGATGAATATTTTTGAGATAGAGTCTCTAGAACTGTTTGCCCGGGCTGGCTTCAAACCTTGATCCTCCTGATCTCTACCTCCTGAGTAGCCAGGATTACAGGTGCCCAGCTTACTTTATTTTTTGATTTTTTATTAGGTTATACTAATTGTACAAAGGAGTTTCATTGTGATACTTCTGTACATACATATAATATACTTTGATCGAATTCACTCCCTATTATTTTCTTACCCTCAGCAATCGATTACTGAATGATTGATTAATGATCTTCATTTCATTTATAAGATTCCTTACCCTGACACTGTATCTGAGACCACCAATCAAGCCAGGTTGTCTCTTGCTCTATTCCAGTAGATTTTTTTCCCTCCAACTGACAACCCACAATATTCTCTAGGTCCTTATCTAAATGTATTTTTAGAGATTTACCAATAAACTACGAGGCTCATGAAGACAGGATGTGGATCTTATCCACCCCTGTGTCCCAGTGACTAACAGAATGCCTGGCACATTTGGGTACTTAAGGAAAATCTCTTGAACAAACAAACATGACTGAAGTATAGCGACCCAGTCCCAAATTTCCTAGACTCATGTAAGAGAGTCAAGTATTCATGCCCTTCAATGAGCAAATGTATAAAATAACATCCAAACATGTAGGGGGCTTAAAGCTTTGCAGAGAGCATTTAAAAAAAAATAACTCATAATGCTGGATAAAATATAAAAGAAAACAGAAACTACTTGCCGCACTCAACTGCTCCTGGTTTCTCCTCACTCTCTCTATCTCTGGGGTCACACTTACTGGAGTGGCCTTATAGTTTTGCTCTTTATACTGGAGCTGGAGGACAAGGTGCAAGACAGTTTGGGATTACGAGAAATAAATTTGTACTAACACCTTGGAATACATTAAAAGAAATGTCACATGACAACAGAGCATTACTAGAACCTGTTTTAGTACTTCATAATGTTGCTGACAGACTTCATCCTCTCCGTGATCATGGTCTCAAACATTTTAAATCATTCCTTTCACTGCTATTCTTCAAATGTATTACTTATTGGTGGCTTCTCGGTGTTTGATCTTACCAGAAATAACAAATCGTTCCTTCTGTGAATCCCTTGTTTCATGACATTTAAACAACATTTATGAAATTACCATTTTATATTTAGAAATAATGATTCAGAAATCCTGTATCTCCAGTGCAGTGGCAGATTGTCACAATTAAAGAAACCAGGAATCTCAAAGTTTTCCTCTGTTTGCAGTTCCAATATTGGGAGGCCTGCCCTCTGCCCTGGAATGACGGAAATTTCCCTGACCTACTGCATTGAGATGTTCTTTCTTAGCTGAGGGGATTAGACTTTGTTGTTTGTGACTAGATTTCTCAAGTAATTTCACAACACCCCCAAGAAATAAATACACATAAAATACAGAGAAACAGAATGACATGTCTGTCAAATGAATTTTTGACAGGCCAAAATAGAGCTAGAGGTTAAAATCCCATTGTGAGGAACTCCACAGGGACAGTTTCAGTGATTTTTCAGAGTTTAATTTCATCAGTAGGGACCTGCAGACAACATATATTTGAAATGCATACTAGTCGGCAAGTGAAGAAAATTTGAGATGCCAGGAAAATAAATGAAAAAGGGCTGGGCTCTTTCTGATCTAACCTCTTTCCCTAATGAGAGACTATCTTTGTGCTGTAAGAGAGTTTAGGCAAATTCTTATGACTGGGATGATGATGGAGTTAAGGTAAGGAAAGTTTCAGTTTAGTATCCACTGGTAACACAAGACAAGGAAAGATGACTCTGGTTAAACTTGGAAGGGAAAAATCTATTGAACAGCATTACTGACATAGAGAAACTGTGGTGGCCAACTTCTAGTGCACACAAATCTAGGGCATTGATTTGATGGAGAATCTTCAGGTCTTGCGTTCATCTGTTTGCCAACATGCCAAGTGCTTTGCAGGCACTCTCTATGCAACACTCTAACCCTGTTTGTAGATGAGGAAGTTGAGGTTTCCTGAGGATAGTGGTTTGTGAAGATTGTACAGGTAAGGTCTGGAACTGGGATCACACAGCAGTCTAGGGTTTTCTTTCCTCACTAACACTCAAATTTAGCATTTCCTCTTTATTAAATTAACTCACTACTAACTTCAAATAATGTTATTTTAAGAGAGTAGCTATATTTCTACCATAAGTTGAGGATGAATTACCCTTCTTTTAGGAAAAGATAAAGCATTAAAACAATTTAATTCCTAAGTCAAGGACTGAGCATCAGTGGGCCTTCCTGAACGCCAAAATAGTGTCTGAGCCACATCAGCAGGACACCAAGGGACTCTGAACCACATCATTAGGACGTGTATTGCAGCTACCATCCCTACCATCATCCCCTGACATCTTTCATCCCAAGTTCTCATCACATAAACCCTCCTTCTGGGTCATGCCTTGGATCCTAAACATACTCCATTTGTTCCTCCAGGATGACTCCTCCTCACAAAGTCTGCCCCAAACCATTAATCATTCCTCAAGATCAAACTCCAAAGTTACTCTCTCTTGAGGGTACTCCTCTCTCTGCTGGAGACAGCCTTCCTCTCCTCTGCAAGGTCACAGAACTTTGCAAGAGGTATTATTATTACTTATGATGGCATGAAACAGTGGGTGAAAATACTCAAAAAATAGAGTAAATACTAATTATTATGACAGCACTTAAACAATACATAGTAGCTACTTATTCCACAGCTGTTTCCCTACAGACCTTGACAATAGTCAGGGACCTGAATTCCCCCAAGAACAGGAATGGAGCAGACATTCAACAGCAAATGTCCAAGCACTGGGTAGGGGCCATGGCCGTCACAAAGATGTGGGAATGTGATCTCCACTTCTGTGGATGACCATGTTCAATGACATTCACTGCAATGGACTTTTACCTGTAGAGGTAATCATGCCCTTGCTATAGACTGATATTCAGTTAGACTGAAAAAATACTTAAGGAAATATGATCACATTGCTGATGTTCTTCTGGTTTTCTTTTACTCTCTTCAGCTCTGGAGGATCAGAAATGGCTGTTGCATGTTTAATCTCTTCTTTGTATTTCACCTGAATAATTTATAAAAATACGGTGTTAATTTTATTCTACACAGAGCTTTAAAATAGTTAAGAACTCAACTCTTCAATTGCAACTATTGTGTACTAGAATTTTTCAAATTGCAACATTACCTTTCCTTCAATGGGAAAACTGTTTATTTTTTCTGATGCTTTCAGGATTCATTTATCCTGAAGTGCAAATATATTCAAATCTATTCACCTACCCATCACTATAGGAGTTCTTTAATTAAAATGAGCAAACATTACTTATGAACATAAACTTTATCATTGAATAGATTACAAAAAGCCATAGAAATTATATTTAATAACACAGGGTGTATTGTTTTCAGGCTGAAAAGCAGTTTCTATCTACTAATATGCTAATTAAAACTGAACATGTATTTAAAGGCAAAAGTCAAATTCAGTTAGCCATAGAGTCTTAGGAATACTGCTTGTCTGATTGAGAGCTACAAATAACCCAGAAAATGAAAAAACTGATGTGACTACAATTAAAGAAGAGAAGAGAGACTGAGGGAAAGGTACTAAAAGCATGAACCAGTGGGTCCTGATCACTCTAAGAAAGGACAGTGTCAGAAATCAGGGAGTATCTTCTACACAGTTACATTACACAAAGTGCCCCTTTATCCTAGCATCCACTCTATCCAGAAACTCCCCCCTTCAGATCTGTTCAGAAGAAGGTCAACCAGACAAACAATAATACCAGCACACAGTGTGCATGAAAGGAGAAATAGCTCTAGCCCAATGTGGTGGCACATGTCTATAATCCCAGCACTTGGGAGGCAGACACAGATTCATTTATATGAATCTCAGATTGAGTTCAAAGCCAACCTGGGCCACATAGCCAAAAAAGAGAGACAGACCGACAGAGACAGAGAAAAGATACAGCTTTTTAAATCTACAACAGAATTAGCAAGGTCATCATTTTTGGTGTTATTTTAATGTTTCTAAAACTCATGGAAGACTGAACTCAAGATAAAGGGCCCATACACATGGACATATAGGAAGCACAGGCTAGACTTGAAGGGCACATATTGAAATTGAGCAGAGACTTAAATCTACACAAAATGTGGTTTTGAAATCCCTTGGGAATGTTTAAAATGATTACAACTAAATTGTCAGGAAGTCCCAGTGCCTCAATACATCAGATGCCACCTACCTTAGTATCTATGCATTTAATATGATTACTACTGTCAACATTAGTCCAGACTGCAAACAGTTAACTTGAGAGTTCACTGAGGCAGACTGGCTCTAAATAAGATTCAAGCCCAGTTTTCAGCACGGTGAGCTGATAGTGAAAAGCCTCATGTTTGGAGATGGAAAATGTCGAGATGTTTAAATGTTAGTGAATCACCTCTCACTTTGACAGATCTGGGTAATCTTGAAAGGGCAACTTTCCATTTGAATACTAAGCAGGAATTTATGGCCCCACCTCAGAGATGCAGAACTATGCATTTATTGCTTGGGGGATGCTAGGAAAAGAAATGATATATCATGAGCATTTTGTGTTGGGTCTCTCAGGTGAGAAGCCCAACCTGATTAAAGATGAACACTTTTGGTTTTCATAGGACTAAGAGAATCACAATGATATAGCATTTCACCATAGGCTATCGAGGTGCCCACTATGGAACATTTATATCTGTGTACATTAATGGGTACATTTCAAATATTATCATTTGAGAGTGAAGAAAGCAAACATTTTACATTTCTTTCCCAAGCTAATTTTTTTTGTTGTTCAAACCTGAATGCTGCCTGATGCAGGCTCTCACTGGGGGGGATCAAAACAACCCAGGCACACACTCTGCCCATTGCCTCCCACCTCCAGGCTCTTCTCTGGATGCTTTCTTCAGGAGACAGCTTCATCCATGCTATAGAGATTTTACTGCATTTGCATTCTGCACAACTTTTATATTTTCATCTTGAAGTATGTTTTTCCTCAGCACCAGCTTGCCCCTCCTACTTTTTCTCTGCAAATGCCACCACACGCTAACATTCTAAAGATACCACATGACTTCTCAGAGTTATCCTCAGATGAGTTGCATCAAGGAAATCCTACTGGATTACTTAAAGGAAAGTTCTGGACAGTAGTGCCTCCAACAGTGAAAGCAAAGAGATAAGTCATGGAAGGGGATTAAAGAAAGAATGTTCTTTTACTTCTTTTACACCTGTTGGTAAGCATGGCAGTTATCCAACATAAATGTCGAGGACTGAAGGGAAGACATTTTTACTTATGACATCAAATGTCTCTTCTACCTTTTCCAAGTCCTGAAATAATCCAGGCTAAATAATTTTACAATTTATATTGAAGGCATCTGTTTTTATTTGTTGAGAGAAGTAGATGGTAAATGGGGCTAAAAAACAAAAACACGGTCTGAGAGAAACTCAGAAATATAACTAACATGGGATAAAAATGGATTAGTAGAATATTGTGTTTAAAATCTGAACCTTTACTTAAGCCACAAAAAATGTCCTGGAGTCTTTGATCATTCTGTCAGAGCAAAATGCCTTTCCTCCAAGCTGTGGAGAGGCACTGAATGTATCCTTTCTCTGCCAAATTTAATACAGTTAAAATTCTGTTGGAAAAGATGAAATGTAATCCTAGATTTCATTAAAATGACCTATGTCGTCTTTAGTCTGATACATCAGAATGAAATGCAGCTTCAGGTTCAAGGGGAACCAAGGCTACAGTTTTCATTCTGAAAGTTAGACCTTTGATATTTGATGAAATTGTATTTCAGGAAAGTGAAGAATAAAAGAAAAAGCATCTTGCTAAGTAAAGAACAAAAAACACTCATCAAGCTTCTGCTTGCTCTTGGAAAGTATAATTCATGCTGCTGAGAACTTACTGAGCTAATATTCTGCTGATTTTTCTTCACGCGTTCAATCTCTGGAGTATCTTTTACTGCTGTGCCAGCTCCTACTTCTTTCTTATAAAATACCTTTATTATAGAAGGAAAGGAAGAACTATAAATTTATTGGAATACAATCCCTACATCTGATTGTTATAAAAGAAAAACCATTTCTCAGGTTTTATAGTAATGTGAATAGCGATTCTACTTATGAATACCAGCATTGTATGAATCAATTAACTAGTCCATTAAGATAAGAAATGCCTGACTGTGGGTTTCATATCCCATAAACTTACAAGAAAGCCTGGAATACCTGCTTGAAGATATGATTAGCAACTAAGCAGACTACCTGTTTTAAGAATCTAAATTGGCAAACTAGAGTTTCCTTCTTCACATATGGATATATCACATGTATTGGAAGAAAATCAGACTGGGCAGAGTGGCACATGCCTGTAGCTTCAGCTACTCAGGATCTCACATTCAAGGCCAACCCCGGGCAAATTTAATGCAAAACCTTGTATCAAAAGTGAACTAAAAGCAAAAGATCTTGGGGCAAGGCTCAAGTGGTACCAAGTGGTAGAGAGCTTGCCTCGTAAGACAGAGGACCTGGGTTCAGTTCCCAGTATCAGAAAAAAAAAAAAAGACCAAAAAAAAAAAAAAATCAAAGCACATATTACAAAAGCTCACTGAACATTTAACATTTAATTCAAAAATTAATGTGAAATTTTAAGCAACACTATTCTTCCAAGTGCAAAGACGTCCTCATTGAAAATACTAACTCTGTTGTCAATATTACCATTCACTCAGTTTATTTGCCTTCTCCTCTGCTTACTCCTTAACTCTCTCACATGTCTCCCTATCCCTAAGAGCATCTACCCCTTCCAAACTCAAAGCAGAACAAAAGACAAAGGCTCTGTACAGAAAAACAGAGTCATTTGAAGCAAGGCATCAGAGCACAGAATATGTCACTTCTTGACATCTGGGAATCCAACAGGCCCATGGAAGAGTATGCCATGAAAAATGTTTTCCTCCACAAGCTGAAAGTCTGAAATGCTATAGAATCACAGGTATCAAGGGTCTCTGACCCTGCCAGTGGGAATTTTTCCATTTCTCAGCACAGTCTTGGGGAGACCACAGAAGTACCTGGCTGGCCGATGTTGAGAGCTGGATGGGGCCTGCCAGTTTAATCAGGAAGCAAAAAAAGATTCCAGAAGCCCTCAAACTTAATAGGATTTACAGTTTTGACTAGACACTTGCCTAACTGCCCAGTGACTGAACCAGTGTTACATTAGGATATTGATTATATGATCAATTTTGATAATTTTATAACAGAAATCAAGTTTATACACCTATCAATTAAGTGTAGGCTCAATCTCTTAATGAATAGTGATGACAGAATTTGACAATGAAAGTTTAGGGATTAGGAACAAACTAGTAAGCCTCTAAGTACATTCTCCATCCAAATAATCAAAAGGCAGGAAGAAAATCACTTCATAGGACTATTTTCATCTTCAAAGTAAAATCAGTATGGAGAGGGGGACTTCTTTCCTGAGTTAAATTTAAAATTTTTAATTAATGATTTAATTATTAAGTGATACCAATAATTATCTCTTGCACCTAATATAAACCTTGAATTGCAAAACAATACTGACAAATTATTGACAATGATACCAGTCATGATGATAATTGGTATTTTTATGATTTTGAAAAAATAAATTAATTTGATGGAAAATGTAATGAGAAAGCAAAATCAGACAACTAGGGGAAAAGAGTGTTCCTTACAAAACATAAAATTTAGTGGGAAGGGCTGGGGATGTGACTCAGCGATAAAGTACTTGCCCAACATGCTTGAGGACTGGGTTTAATCCTCCGCACTGAAAAATAATTTAACGGGGAAACTGAAAAGAAATATAAGGTGGGCATCCCTAACCCAATTCTGAAATCTTTCAAATTTTGAAACTCTTTGAGCACTGACAAGTGGAAAATTCCATCCCTTACCTCAGGTGATGGGTCAGTCAAAACATAGGTGAACCAAAAATATTATATAAAATTACCTTCAGGCTAGGTATATGAGGTATATATGAAGTACAAACAAATTTCATGCTTAAACTTAGGTCCCATCCCCAACATCTTAGCATATATGCAAATATTCAAAATCCAAAAATGTCTGAACTCTTCTGGTGCCAAGCCTTTCAGATGAGGGATACTCAACCTGCAATGGCTACTCACCGCACTAATGTTTTGTTGACTTGTCTTGATTCTCTGAATTTCAGGAGTATCAGCCACAGTGGAATACTTAGAAAGCATTTTCTCTGCTTCATCTTTATACTTTTTCTAAAAATATAAAGTTGATATAAATTTTAAACTGTGTATATGAGAGAGAGAGAAAGAAAGAATAAGAGAGACAAAGAATGATACCCCAAATTGCTGTTTGATGAAACAGCAGGAATGGGGGGAGTGACCAAACAGTTCAGCCGCAGCTTCCCCTCTGCTAGGCTGTGGTTCCCACCAGTCCATTCAGATACCTCAGAGGGCTTGACTCCAGGTCCTTCCTATATTTAGGGCCTCCTCTTTCACGAGCAGTCCTAGACCCTGTTCCAGTGGCCTCATAGCTCCTGTGAGTAACCTGGCTCTCTACAACTACTTTTGTACATGCTTCTAGATTTATGTTTTGCTTTCTACTTTAGGTAAAGATAAACAATTAAAGAAAAGGTACCAGTATTTTTGGAATTAAAAATTTTTAATCTCAGTTCACTATTCACTAGATGAACTATGATGACCTCCAATAAAACCTGGGCAATGTCTTATACATGGTACCAGAGCATACATAATTCTAGGTAATAGTATTGTTCTAAATACTCAACATAGATTGATTTGTTGAATCAATCCCACAAGCAGATACTATTATTGCCCCCATCTGTAACATAGGGAAACTGAGTCATCAGATAGGAAGTATCAGAGCTAAGACTTAAACTCAGACACTTGGGTCAGTGAAATTAACCATTATGAGGTAATGCTGTTAAGGAAATTAACATATGGAAATGCAACACTGTATCATCAGTGCAGCTGCTCCCCCCTCACCTCAAATGTCCATTTGCCTATTTTGTGTGTTTACCTAAGACTTTCACTCAGCTAATAGCTATAGCCAGTGTCTCCAAGTTCATGTGCCATACATATGAGGCACTGAGGGGAAGAAGACAAGCACTGCAGGACCATGCCAACTGCCTAGTCATCAAGGAAACTGAGACATTTTGACTCCGCCATCTTGATTCTCCCACTTTAAACCAGTGGGTATTTACACTCCTTGCTTATATTTCACCAGAATTCAAACAAATTTGGCCAAATTTTGTCAAAAATTACCTTCATCATAAATTTCATTAATTACACTTAATTCTTTGTTCCATTTTCTGTAACTATTTTAATTTTTTTCATTCCCCTCTATTTTTTCCATTGGGGAGGATATTTTCCATGTAAATTTGATAGCAAAGATAGTACTCACTAATGAATGTGTTTGCCCAAATAAAATTTTAGAAGTAACTTCTTCCATAAATGTTTTCTTTGGAGGTCATTATCTCTCTCACATCCAGATTTTATTTCTGGAGAATATGCAACAGGTACATGTAGGAAATATAAATTTTATCAAGAAAACTTAGTTCTTCCTTAATTTTTAGCTCATTGAATTCTACTTTGTAACTTGTGCAGTTATAGCCACTGTCATTTTATTCAAAGCTATTTTTAAATATTATGCATTTGAAATGATCAAAAGACAAATCTTTGAAATTATGTTTCTCAACTATGAGTAAAGAAATTCTAGGCAAGTGTATAATGGAGTCAAAAATACAATAAAGGTCAAAATGTCCTTGGACTCAAAACAGGGGGCCCCACATGGGGCTTCACCACCCTATAATGTCTATTGAATCAAATATACCTCCCTTGTTCTTTTAATTAGTAAAGTTAATCAAGTTTGGCCAGGATGCTCTTAATAATTGAGTATACTAACCTTAATGCAATGTGTTCCAAAAGCTACCCGCCATCGAGACTCACAGCACACATGGTGACTGAGTATTACAGCACGTTACTCTAAACATCTATATTCTTGACCAACCTGGCTATAGATTTCAGATGCTCTCTTGGCTCGAAGCAAATCCGGGATATCTGCATTCACTTGCATTCCTTTCCCCTTAATTTCATTTTCTAAGTCTTTTGTATACTGTTTCTAAAAGAACAGAAAGTCATCATAGCATTTTGCTTAACGTTCCGTCGCAATGTAGGTATTTATGTGTTTGAATAGCATAGATACCACATGAAAGTAGCATTGACACTCTTGCTTTGTATGTATGTTGGATGTGTTTGCTTGAAATTGAACCTGCTGCTTCCTTACCTGGCTAGCCATCTCGGATGCTCTCTTAGCTCGCTGAACATCCAGAGTGTCTGCACTGACCTGCATTCCCTTCCCTTTAATTTCAGTCTCCAGATCTCTTTTATACTCTTTCTGCAGAAAATGAAACACACAGTTAGTGCTCTATAGTCATTTCATATGCGTGAAAAAAATGTGATGTCATTTTGACAACAGGACCTCATCTTTTGGAATTAAGTTGGGCCCTTATTTCTTTATTTTTGCTGTAGAACAAGAAAGATTTTTAACTTGGGGTAGACATGACATGAAGTGACTTGTTCACAAGTCATCAGGAAGCTTTTGTCTACCAAGCTGAATTCAGAAAAAGAACAGAGAGAGGTGGGAGGACATTTTATATTTCAATATAATAAGCTTGATAAATCCAGTAGTTAATATATAACTCAGTTGATATATAAGTAAGATGTAATTGTAATATTCTTGCTCTTCACAAATTGTTGTGACTCACCTCACTGCTGCCCCCCAGTCTAAATCATTCAGCTTGAGGTTAGCCCAAGTCTCTTTGGGATCTGTGGAGTTTAACCAAATCATTCTACCCTATCCCTGGCCCTACATGATTTATTCAGGGATGGATGCACTTCTTTTTCCCTGGAAAGTATCAGAAGAGTCTTTCTTTCCTTCTAGATATAAGAGAAAAAAGATACATCCCAGGAGCTGCTGGAAGCCTCTTCAATCAGAAGAAAACTTGTCTGAGAACTGAAAGCCAGAAACTCAAACTAAATCATGTATCACTTAAGCAATATGTAACTGTTCAGAGTGATGGAAATACGTTCTGGAATAGGTGTCATTTAGGCAATTTTGTTGTGTGAACACAAACCTAGATGGTCTAGCTAATACATCGCTGGACAGTATGCACATTTGGTCTAGCCTATTGCTCCCAAGGCCACAATGAACAGAACAATATAAGTTCAAATCAAGTAAAAGAAAAAAATGAGGCAATCAACAACTCAGTAAAAACAAGATACACAAGGCTGCTGCAAGCCTAACACTATGCAGTTTTACAGTAAACTTTTTTTAATAAGTAGAAGTACATTCTAAAGTAACAATTAGTACAGTAAATACAGACAGCACTAAGATAGTCTACTTATGATCATTATCGAGTATTATGCACTCAACATCATTATATGTGCTATCCCTTTGTAGACTAGCAGCACTGTAAGCATATTTACACTAGCATCACCACGAACAGGTGAGTGACATTTTGCACTTATGACATTACAATGGCGACAGTTGCAATGGGAGACAGGAATTCTTCAGCTCCACTAAATCTTACGGGATCACCATTATACACGTGGTCCGTTATTAAGCAAAAGTCACTCTGCAACATATAACTACACTTGAGTCCTAGCTCACCCATGCCCAAGAATTCCTAAATTGCTCAGTCACAAGGACAATAAATTCACCTACTTTTGCAAAATGTCCACCTTCGGCTAGATTACATGTTATTTATCAAATCATCCCAATTACAAACCCACGTCTTAAAGGGACTCATCACATTTTAAAACTGATTATAAATTTCAGCAAGCTGTGCACATAATTTGTGCTTTTTCTATATGTTATTCTTTACAAATTTTGCTTAAAAATATTAATTATATCCAATTAAATTTATTCTAAAACAATTATTTCCCATAATGTTGACAAACTTCAGACTTACAGATTCTCTCCTCTAACATATATGCTGGTTTACTTATTTATGGTTTTCTAAATAAGATGTTTAAAGTTATTCAAAAACTTTAAAATTGTTGTAAACAAAATTCGCAATATCAGAGAAATATTGTATTTTCCCTATTTTCTACTCATAACCCTACTTTTTACTTAGACTCTTCTGTTTTACTTTTCTTAATAAGACTCATATAATCATGATTAACTTTCAAAGTAATAATATTCAATTATTACAAAGTTTGTAATAAGCTCTCTGTTTACAATAAGCCTGTTTAAAGCCCCAAAACAATATGCTTCACTTGAAGGACAATATTCATGGAATCTGATTTTAAACAGCCACCCAGGTCCCATGGTAGAAGTATATTGCTCAATTTTGCAGGGTAAATTTTCAAACGTTAATGTGTTCTAAAGCACAAAGGCTACATGAGATACTGGTTATGTCACTTATGTTATTGCCCCGTAAGAAAACACCCCCAAACTTGGAAGGTTTAAAAGACCATTATGACATCTACATTCCAAGTGGACAAACTCTAAGGCACCCCCATGTGCTCAGTCAAATGTTTGCTAATGTCCCATTCACTAAAGAAAGTCTCACAGTCAGGTCAAGTCCATAGATATGGTAAAGTTTAACTACGGAGGTCACTGGCATAACAATGTACTACTTTGATTTTACTTGAAAAATCAGCTTTGGATATTAAAAATGAACAATAGCAAGGTCCCAAACTTCACTTGCTAGACAGGTACTCTATCAGTTCAGCCATGCCCCAGCCCTTTTTGCTTTAGTTATTTTTTAGGTAGGGTCTCTCCCTTTTTGCCTGGGCTGGCCTTGGACCATGATCCTGCTATCTTAGCCTCCTAGGTAACTGAGATTACAGGCATGAGCCACCGCACCCAGTATTAGATAGACCTCATTTCTAAATTGGACCCTAATAATCAAGAATCCTATTCATCTCCAATTCCTTTATTTAAACCAATCATGGCTATCTTATTTCTCCAGATAGTGCCCAAACCTGGGAATTGGGTAGCTCCCAACAGTTGGCAGTTCTGGCCTTCCAAACTTCTTGAGTGGAAATCAACCATGAGTCAGCTCTTCCCAACTGTCAGAGTCACATAATGGTTCTCAAAGTGGTCCCACTGAAGTCCCCATCTAATCGGCCTTGAGAAATAAGTGAATCACTCTCCTTAACTGCACCCCAATTTTCTCTCCACATACATTTCTTACAAAGCCACCTTATCCCAAACACTCTCACTCCAGTAATTGTCTTTTTTCCCAGAATCACTGGGAGGGTTCAGAAAGTGTGAAGACAATTCTGGTGTGTTTTTTTTTCTTTTTTGAAAAATACATGTAGGAGCCAGGAGGTCTGTGTTACATAAAGACAATGGTGTTAGACAAACGAATGTGGTCATTCAGAATGTTTAATGCTGCGACCCAAAACTCTGACTCAAAATTTCAGCAGGTGAAGTCAACAGAAGATATTTTAAGAGGATGCAACCACAAAGAAATGATGACTGTTCTCATAGTAAAGTTTCAACATATGGTTTTCAAGTTCTTAGAAAATTGGAAACACAAATACGCCATTCTGTCCTAAAGAAAACATACTATGTAAACATTTATCATATCCTAAATTAACAGAAAACGTGTTGTATTACAGAATAAAGTGTTAGGGATAAGTGTGTATTTAATATTCTATTAAAACACCTTTCCCCAAGCTTCCTTTCATGTATTTAAAGGATACAAACCAAGCAAAAACTGTAAATTTTCAAACAAACAAAATGATTTGAAACAGTTTCCATTCCAAACTGTCAAAGCAGCTCCAAAGCTTTGAGAAATCCCATGCACTAATGAGTTGCTGATATGATTTGTTAAGCTCCAAAAAAGTAGTTTCAGAGTCTGTGGGACGCACCCCACTCACCTCACTGGCTAGCTCAGCAGCCTTTCGGGCATGCTGTATTTCAAGGGTGTCAGTGCCAACTTGCATTCCCTTCCCTTTAATTTCTAACTCCAGGTCCTTCTTGTATTCTTTCTGTAAAAGGTGATATTTTACAACACTCAGACACTCCATGGACAACATATATTTGCAGTCGGTAATGCCAAAATATTGCTAAACATTCAAAAAGAGTAAGAGAGTACACAGCTTACTTTGTCCTATGAGTGATCAACTAAAACTAAACTTTCTGAATTGGACAGAATTCTAATCACTATTCTAGAAAGCTCTAAAGATTTATAGTGTTTAAAAGGCAATCAACCTGGTGAGAATCATCATGGAGAATTGTGCTGGGAGCTGAAGGATAGGGAAGTGGGGACAAATGGATTGATGTTGTAGAAAGAGGATTGACTTGGAGGCCAGTGCACTCGGTAGCCATGTGACATGGGGAATTGCTTTTCTCATCTTGAAACAAGGGATAATAAGAGCTCTATAAGGAATCCACATTGAGGACCAGTGAGAGCACTCAGCACAGAGCCCAGCACTGAGGGGCATTCAGTAACTAAGAGCTTTCTCTTGTCTTCACTTGTCCACCCTTACACTGGCCCTTCCTTCTCCTAGTAAGGCATGATGTACAATCAGCAGTGGTCACTATTCTCATACAACATGGAAAAGAGAGTGTGACTACCAATTTATTTTTAATTGAATACCTAGGGAACTATGAATAGGGCATGGCTACTTATCTAACAAGAGAGCTGTGGCTCATATATAACCCTTGAGAAAGATTTATCATAAGGAAATCAGCTGAAAATGTAAACATTCTCAGCTGTTAAATTAATTTACTCACCTCACTGGCCATTTCAGATGCTCGCTTTGCCCTTTGAATATCAAGAACCTCTGAATTAACTTCCATTCCTTTTCCTTTTATTTCATTTTCTAAATCCTTTTTATATTCTTTCTGTAAGACAAGGATGTGACAGTTCAAAACTTACCAGGAGACCAAATGTGAGCTGTCACACCTGTAATCCCAGCTACTTGGGAGGCAAAAGTAGGACAATTGCAGTTTAAGGCAAACCTGGGCAAAAAGTTAGCAATACACAAGGCATGGTGGCACACACCTGTAATCACACTTATGTGGAGGAAAGAGGCAGGTGGGTCATGGTCCAAGGCCCACCCAAGCAAAAACTTAAGACCTTGTCTGAAAAATAGCTAAATGAAAAAGACTAGAGGCATGAATCAAGTGGTAGAGCACTTGCCTATTAGGTACAAGGCCCTGACTTCAAGTCCCAGTACTGCAAACAGACAAACAACAACAAAATTGTGTGTGTGTGTGTGTGTGTGTGTGTGTATCAGGAGTTATTTTAACTGGTGTACTGTTTTACATGTTTTCCAGAGACCACAGACAGGAGAAAATATTACTAAGGAAGAGGGAATTAAACTGCCAAATATTCATGCTTATTGCTTACAGACGCTTCATTTCCTCTTCCATCAACTTTAGGGTGATTTCTGATATTGGTCTTTTCCCTTTCATCCCTTCTACCGATGTGTTTTGGTAACATAATGGGTTTTTTAAAAAATTGCTTTTTAAATGGTGAGGAAGATCTTAAGATGCTTCATATTAATTCTTTGAAGCATCTTTTGAAAAATGATATAAAGTAGAAATATAAATTACCAAAAGAACATGATTGAGAAAGAATGGAAAATTACAAAATCAAAAGTTTAGGGAAGAAAATGTGTTTCTGGGCTGGGGATGTAACTCAGTAAGAACCTCTTGACTACTGGGCACACAGTCCTGGGTTTGATTCCTAGCATGGGAAAAAATAAGGCTCCGTTTTATTCAAAATTTGTAAAGCCAAATAATTTCCTGCAGATTATTCTTTGAATTTCTCCTATTTTAATAAATTTAAGTATCTCAAATGCCTTATGTGAATACTTCTATATAACTTGTTATTCTCTGCTAATGAATCACTTGTTTTCTTATTTAATTGCACTGTGAAAACAATAACTATCGGATTCCTATTAAGCTAAGTTTCATTTATGCTAATTTGTCAGAAGAAAGATGAAATTCCCTTTAGTGATAAGAAATAACGTTCTAGTTAATTCTAGGCTTCATTTCATGTTATTTTCCCTTGGTCCTATAATTAAATTTATTTAAATTAAAGAATTAAATTATTCTGACCTCTGCTCAACTAGTAGCTTGCTAAAAAACCTTGTTTCCTTATTGGTCAATGTGACCTTCAGCCTTGCTTCCAGTCATGGCAAAATGACAACAAAAATACATCTTCTATCAAGTTCAAGGGCAATGGGGTAATCAAACAGAATGAAATCTAAACTGATTCCATAAGTAAGGAATATAGCATCCATTTACAGCTGCATGCTGACACTTATAAAGCAAGTTATCAGTTCATTAAATCACCAAGTGACTTAGGGTCCTTCCTTCCTTCCTTCCCTTTCTTCCTTCCTTCCTTTTTCTTTCTTTCTTTCTTGTGTGTGCTGCTGGGGATTAAACCCAGGGCCTTGAGAATGCTAGACAAGTACTCTACCACTGAGCTATATCCCCAACCACAACTAGGTTTTGTTGTTGTTGTTTGTTTGTTTGTTTTTGAAATACCAGGATATAAACTTAAGGTCTTACACTTGCTAGGCAAATGCTCTATGACTTAGGCCACTCCAACCCTTTTTGCTTTATTTATTATTTCCCACAGTCTCAAGTTTTTGCTCAGTGCAGCCTGGAGCCACCATCCTCCTACTTATGCCTCCCTAGTACTTGGATTACAGGTGTGCACCAGCTTGTTGGTTAAGATAGGGGTCTTGATAACTTTTTGCCTGGATTGGCCTCCAACCTTCATCCTCCCAATCTCTGGTACCCAATGAGCTGGGTTTATAGGCATGCATCATCAATCTGGCCCAAGCTTATTTTTTAGATAGGGTCTTGATAATGTTTTGCCCAGACAGGCCTCAACTGTGATTCTCCCATCTCCACCTCCTGTACATGCAACTTTTAAAAAAAATTTGATATCTCTATAAATTAAAGATTTTTTAACCAGCATTGTTACAGACTAAATGTTGTATCTGTCCCACTTCATATATTGAAGCCCTAACTCCCAGCATGACAGTATTTGTATGTGGGGACTTTTAGAAGATAATCAGGTTTAGATGGGGTTATGAGAGTGGGGCCCCCATGATGGGATTAATGGCTCTATAGGAAGAAAGACCAGAGTTCTGTGTGTGCTATGAGGATGCAGCAAGAAAGTAGCAATCAAAAGCCAAGCAGTAGGTCCTTAACCAGCAACCAAGTCTATCAGCACCTTGATCTTTGGTTCCCAGTCTCCAGATGGAGAAATACCTGATATTTAAGCCATCCAATCTATGGCATATTCCTATAGCAGCCCCAAACTGACCAATACAATAGTCTCCTGGCCCTTTTCCTGTCCTATGCATACGTTCTGAGTAAATATAGTCAAACTGTTATCAATTTAATCCTATGTCTTATTTGACAGTAAAACTCACAGCATCATTATTCTAACCACATCAATCCCTTTCAGAAAATTAGAGACATAATTTTCTCCTTTAAAAAAAGAGGAGGGAATAACAGAAAAAAGCAATGATATGAATTAGTTATCTGTGGATCTCAAAATAGATCTCACATTGTTATTTTAGTGCAAATAATTAAAAGATTCTCCTTTGAAAATTTATATAAGTTGTACATATTTTTAATAGAAAGCAGTAACAGTAGAAAGTTGCCATGTGATTAGTTTTCAACTTCAAAAATTTTATAGGAGTTAGAAATGAGAAGCAATAGAGTGGCAAGAGAATCCTTACAGAGGTTCAATGTGTATTTCAGTATACATACTTTACAACAGTAAACTACATTAAGTGTCTGAAGCCAGTTAAATATTAGAGCCAAGTGGCATTTGCTTATTAAAGAAATTCATGATGATGGACTTCTACATAAAAAAGTAAGTTTCAATTTATTTCAGTGGTTTCAGACATTTCTTTCAGGAATAATGTCTGCAGTTCAAAAATTCAGAAGTAAGAGTTACTGTAAGGAGGAGGAAGGACATCCTGTTTCCATCTTCTTTATACAGTGCTTCTCCTTATGCCAGCTAAGAGGTACCAGTAAATGCTGTGTGGAGATGCTAACCCTTCTTCAGAGGCTTGAGAAATTTCCTCCAAATTCTTAAGGAAACTTTCATATCAAGAAAATTATCTAGAGGATCCAAAATGGCAACAGGGACACAGACACAGACTAATGAGCTCTGTGAATCAGGGACCTTGCTGATGCTGCAGACACACTTGGCTGAGGTAAAGCACAAGGGAGAGGTGAAACTTCAGCACCCTGAACCCCTAGCCCGTGGAAGGCTTCTCCACAACACAATACACTGACAGAACAGGTGGGCCACCACCCCCACATTGCCACTGCTCACCCGCCAGGCCACTGCCGTGACTTCACCCTGCAGGCCCAACAGGTGGCCACACCGCCACCCCACCAGGCCACCACCTTCTGGCCTTCCAGGCCACTGCACCAACAGGCGGCTGCCCATCTGGCTACCACCCACCCACTGGCCCTCAGGCCCATCAGGCCTCTGCCTTTCCTGCTGGAGCCACACTTGGCAAAAAAAAAAAAAAAAAAAGAAAGAAACAAAACTCCGAAACCCCTCAGCCCATAAAAAGCTTCTCCATGCCATGTTACACTGAGAAAATAGGAGAGCTCCAGCACTGCCAGAAGCCAGCTCCAACCTGCCTAGGAGATGCAGACAAACAGGACTGGATGCTAAAGAAGTAACACCAGAAATACTAAGACTGAAATTCTACTGTTCCTAAACTGGGAATTTGTATTTCTTTTCTTTAAGTGTTTGTTTGTCTTGTTCACTGTTTGATTGTCCACCATCTCTCCCTGTTGATTTCTTTGGTTCTCCATTTTCTTTCTTTATCTTCTTTCTTTTTCTTTTTTTCTATTTCTTTCTTGGTTTTGTTAGTTTTACTGTTGTAAGTTAGCTAATACTAAATTACACATAGACCAGGGACAGAAACAATACAATGTGGAATGATGGGAAGATGAAAAAGGGATGGAAACCATTTCCTCCCCCCAAAAAAATTAGTACAAGATTCAGAGGGAAAAGAAGAAAATGGATACCCAGATCCAAACTGCAACAAAACAAAGATAAACTATATCAAGAAATCCAATGAAGTCCACAAGAATACTCTGAAAGAAGAAATCCTGCAAGTAATCAATGAGAACTTCATAGAGATGTTGCTAGATATGGTCAACCAAAACATACAAAAGGCACTCAAGGAATTCCAAGACAAAAAAAAAAATAAAGAATATGAGAAAACACAAAAACAAATAAATGAACTCATAGGAGCCCTAAACAAACACTAAAGTGAAACACAGAACACCATAAAGAGAGATAAATGAATTAAGAACAAAAATTGACAGTTTTAAAGAGGAAGTGACCCATGATATGGAAAACCTCAGAAAAAAGAATGAAACAGAAATACAAACCAAAATGGAAGGCCAATCCAGCAAATTAGAACAAGCAGAAGACAGAATCTCAGAACTTGAAGATGAAATGGAAATTAAAGGAAAAACTGAAGAACTATTAGTCAGACAACTCAAGACCTGTGAAAGGAATATGCAAGAACTCACCAACTCCATCAAAAGACCAAACCTGAGAATCATGGGCATTGAAGAAGGAGAAGAGGTGCAAGCAAAAGGAATTCATAATATATTCAACAAAATAATAACAGAAAATTTCCCAACTCTAGAGAAAACTATGTCCATTCAGGTACAGGAAGTCTCCAGGACTCCAAACAGACTTGACCAAAATAGAACTACCCCATGACACATTATATTAAAACAATAAGCACAGAGAATAGAGAAAGAATATTGAAGGCTGTAAGAGAGAAAAAACAAAATAACATACAAAGATAAACCCATCAAAACCACAGTAGATT